CACTTGCTTTTATCAACAATAAATGAGTTTCAGTGTGGCTCATTATGTCAAATGAAAACAATAGGGGGCTAATGAGCACTGTGAATGAGCCATTAACATGGCAATTAGAAGTATCCTTAAGAGTGCTAAATCTCTTCTGCCTCTTTCTTTGTACAATCAGCAATAAATGTAGATGCAACCTCATCTATTAAATCTAATTCAAAGAATAAGTATGTTTAGATGTCTAATTTGAGTAGTTTCTGTCAAAAAATATGTTGCTTTACACTTAACGCTTCTGGTTCAGCTTGTGCAACTGGTAAAGGATTATTATGTCCTTTAGTGGCCAAGATCATGTGTTATCAGATGTGATGTCTCACTTTGAAACTACAACACTGCAGGGTTTTCATCACAAAGGGGAAACGTACCTGAGATGAGAAATTTGCTGGTGACTTCGTCTTTGCTATTGATTTAAGGTGGCTTAACACTGCACGCTGCTTTGTTCAGAAGAAACCTTCACCTCCCACCTCAGCTCCTCTCTGATTCCCTGTTCCTTAGCTCTTGGGATGGTGTCATGTTGGGAGTTGATAAGCTCTTGCCCATGGCAGCATGTTTCCTCAGTCCTTGTAACAGGTGGGAAGATCAGCCTGAAACAGCATCAGAAAAATGTGTACTTAAAGGGCAGTAGGGAGGAGTGGGAACCTTATTGTATTCAGTGATGCTGAGCACGTATCTTTCAAAAGGCAAGGGTAGGAGAGGAACACAAGTATTTAAATGACTTTCAGAATTTGCTTTTTAAAGTGAGTATATTAAAATGACTCATATCCACAGGTGATCTGCTGACCAGCTGTGGCAGCAGTGCAGCTGGGCTCCTGGAAGGGAAGGGTATGCCCCAGTGAGGCCCATCACCAGTGGGCCACCATTACAGGTGCCATGTGGCATTGCTTCGGGCATCAGAGGTATGAAACATCCATCCTGCCTCCAAAACATGACTGACTACTCATACACTACCACCCCTTTGTGATGCTTTGGTGAGTCATGAGACTAGTGTTAAAATAAACAATATATTTGAATAAGGCCCCAGCAGTTGGTATCAAGAGATTACCTGAGAATTTCAGGGTTTTTTTTCCTAGTCCTCAGAATTACAGTGGAAATTAACAGGCCCAGACAGCATAAAGCCAAGAGAAAGCACTCTGCAAGTATTTCTTAAGGACTCCTGATACCCTGATTTTCTATGGCTTGGCTTGTGACTTTCACATGTGGCAAGGCTGTAAGGAGAGAAGCGGAATGGAAAGGAATAGGTTGAGGTGACCAGTTCAGCAAAAGCATATTGTAAAAAATAAGGCAGTTTAAGTGTCGGCAGATGATGGTGACAGGAACTCTGGTCTTTTTGCTTCTGTCCTCCCTCAGTTTCCTCGCCTTATTTTCTTGTCTCGGTCCTAGACCGCCTGCCCTAGGTACCTTTTGCTTCCTTCGCTTACAGCACGTCTCAAACGGTCCCGCGGGGACCCTGCCACTGTGCCAGCCTTCCTGGGGTTGGGCAGCTCTTGCCCCACCACCCCGAGGGGTCCCAGCTCTCCGGGCGCCAGGCAGGCTGCCGCCGGGTCCC